CCATGCTGTTTTTGTTATTATTGCTCTGTAGTATAGGTATAGTGATGCCACCTGCTTCATTCTTCCTTCTAAGGATTGCTTTAGCTATTTCTGGGTCTCTTATTTTTCCAGATGAATTTCATGTTTGCTTTTTCTATTTCTATGAGGTATGTCATTGGGATTTTGATTGGAATTGCAGTAAATCTGTATAGTGCTTTTGGAAGTATGGACACTTTGATAATATTAATTGTGCCTATCCAAGAGCAAGGTAGACCTTTCCATCTTCTAAGGTGTTCTTTGACTTCTTTCTTTAGGGTTCTGTAATTTTCATTATGTAGATCTTTCACCTCTTTCGCTAAGTTGATTTTATTTTATATTTTTACTGTTATTATAAATGGGGTAGTTTTTCTCCTTTCCATTTCTGAGGATTTATCACTGATATACAGAAATGCCTTTGAATTATGAGTGTTAATTTTATATCCTGCTACTTTGCTGAATTCATTTCCTAGTTCTAGACGTTTTGAAGTTTTCTGGTGGAACTTTCAGGGTCTTCTAGGTATAGAATCATATCTCAGCAAATAGTGCCATTTTGAGTTCTTCTTTTTCTGTGTGTACCCCTTTAATTTCTTTCATGTAATTACTCTGGCCAGTGTTTCAAGAACTATGTTAAATAGTAGTGGTGAAAGAGGGCATCCCTGTCTTGTTCCAGTTTTTAGAGGGAATGCCTTCAATTTTTCTCCGTTTAGAATGATGTTGGCCTGGGGCTTAGCACGGATAGCCTTTATGATGTTGAGATATGTTCCTGTTATCCCTGTTTTTCTAGTGTTTTGAACATAAAGTGGTACTGTATTTTGTCAAATGTGTTTTCTGCATTTATTTAGATGATCATATAATTCTTACCTTTAAGTCTATTGATGTGATGAATTGCATGTATTGATTTTCGTATATTGAACCAACCTTGCATCCCTGGGATGAATCCCACTTGATCATGGTGCATGATCTATTTGGTATATGTTTGTATTTGATTTGTCAGAATTTTATTGAGAATTTTTGCATCTATGTTTATTAGAGATATTGGTCTGAAGGGTTTTTTTTTTTTTAATCTGTCTTTGCGTGGTTTTGAAATCAGGATGATATTGGCCTCATAGAAGGAGTTTGGAAGTGCTGCCTTTTTTTCTATTTTCTGAAATAAATTAAAGAGTATTAGTATTAGTTCTTCTTTAAAGGTCTTGTAGAACTTGGCTGTGTATCCATCTGGTTCTGGGCTTTTCTTGGTTGGTAGACTTTTGATGGCGCCTGCTATTTTGTCACTTGCAATTGATCTGTTTAAATTATGTATATCATCCTGATTCAATTTGGGCAAATTATATGACTCTATAAATTTGTCAATGCTCTCGATATTTTCCATTTTATTGGAGTATAAGTTTTCAAAATAATTTTTAATTATCATCTATATTGCTATAGTGTCTGTTGTGATATTTCCTTTTCATCACGTATGTTAGTGATTTGAGTTTCCTCTTTCCTTCTCTTCTTTAGCATGGCTAAATAAAGGTCTGTCAATTTTATGTATTTTTTCAAAGAACCAATTTTTTGTTCTGTCAATTTTTCAATTGTTTCTTTTGTTTCAATTTCATCGACAATCTAATAGAATACAGTGTAGTATCTCTATTTTTTTAATATTTGCTAAGAGTTGCTTTGTGGCATGGTATATGGTCTATTTTAGAGAAGGATCCATGTGCTGCTGAGAAGAAAGTAGATCCTCTTGTTGAAGGATGAAATATTCTATATATGTCAGTTAAGTCTAAGTTATTGATTGTATTATTGAGTTCTATAGTTTTTTGTTCAGCTTTTGTTTGGAAGATCTATCTAGTGATGAAAGAGGTGTGTTAAAGTAACCCAAAATCATTGTGTTGTGGTCTATTTGACTTTTAAACTTGAGAAGAGTTTGTTTGATGAACATAGATGCTCCATTGTTTGGGGTGTATATATTTATAATTGTTAAGTCTTGTTGGTGTATGGTTCCCCTAAGCAGTATGTAGTGTCCTTCTTTATCCTTTTTGATTGACTTTAGTTTGAAGTCTACTTTATTTGATATGAGGATGGAAACCCCTGCTTGCTTCCACAGCCCATGTGAGTGTATGATTTTTCCCAACCCTTCACCTTCAGTCTGTGGATGTCTTTTCCTACGAGATGAGTCTCTTGGAGGCAGCATATTGTTGGTTTTTTTTTTTTTAACACAATCTGCTAGGCTATGCCTTTTGATTGGTGAGTTTAGGCCATTAACATTCAGGGTTATTATTGAGACATGATTTATATTCCCAGCCATTTTTGTTTAGTTTTGGTATTTAACGTGACTTGGTTTCTCCTCTGATTAGATTTTCCTTTAGTGTTATACTTCCCTCTGCTGATTTTCATCATTGTTTTTCATTTCATTTTCTTGGAATATTTTGCTGAGGATATTCTGTAGTGTAGGCTTTCTAGTTGTAAATTCTTTTAGCTTTTTGTCAGGGAAGGTTTTTATTTTATCATCAAATCTAAAGCTTAATTTTGCTAGATAGAAGATTATTGGTTGCCATCCATTTTCTTTCAGAGCTTGAGTTGTTCCACAATCTCCCGGCTTTGAGGGTCTGGGTTGAAAAGTCTGCTGAGATACAAATTGGTCTCCCCCTATATGTGATCTGATTTCTCTGTCTTGTGGCTTTAGAGATTCTATCCTTATTTTGTATGCTAGGCATTTTCATTATAATGTGCCTTGGTGTAGATCTGTTATAATTTTGTACACTTGGTGTCCTGTAAGCCTCTTATATTTGGTTTTCCAATTCGTTTTTCGTGCTTGGGAAATTTTCTGCTATTATCCAATTGAAGAGATTGTGCATTCCTGTGGTTTGAAACTCTGTGCCTTCCTCTATCCCAATAACTCTTATATTTGGTCTTTTGATGCTGTCTCATAATTCTTGGATATCTGTTCATGGTTTCTTACTCTCTTCACTGTGTGATGAACTTTATTTTCCAGATTGTACTTTGTCTTTATTATCTGATATTCTTTCTTCCAAGTGATCTAATCTGTTGGTTATGCTTTCTATTGAGTTTTTTATTTGATTTATTGTATCCTTCATTTCAAGGATTTCTGACTTTTTTTCATAATCTATATCTCTCTCTTGAAGTAATCTTTTGCTACCTGTATTTGCTTTCTTATCTCATTATTGGAGTGATCAGTTTTTGCATGTATTTGCTCATTTAGGTCATTCTTTAATTCACAGATCATTTTAATTATGAACCTTCTGAACTCCTTCTCTGACATTTCATCAACTTTGCTGTCCATGGGTTCTATTATTATAGTATCCTGGTTTGTTTGGGGCACTTTCCTCCCTTGTTTTTTCATGTTTATGTGTCTTCCTTTCTTGCTGTGTGGATCTGAGACATTACAGTTTTTTTCTCTATATTCTTGTATTAACCATGCAGATTGTCTGTACCTTACCTTGATGTTGGGCTTCCAGACCCTGCTGGTGTCCCTCAATGTATGCTACTGCATCCTGGACCTAGGTCCTGTACAAGTTGACGTGGGTGGATATGGGCAGCTGGGTTTGACCTCCCATGGTAGTCTGTTGCTGGGAAGGGGCTGTCTTGTGCCAGAGATGAAGCTCTGGCGGGTGTCTGCCCCTGGGAAGGATGGACCAGGCCTACTGTGAGCCTAGGTCCTGCGTGGGTTAGTGGTCTGAATCTCTTCTATCTCATGAAAACTTTGTAACTTTTTGAAACACAGGCCATTTATAGGTTTGTTTTCATCCTTAATTCTTTGATTTTTTTAAACTAGGGTTTTTTAGTTAATATTGCTTATTTTGGTTATTATGAGAATGAACATTATTCTGTGAACTTCTATTTAATACCTGAAGTTTTTAAAAGTAGCTTTCAATGACACTGCTTTCCTAAATACAGAAGGTATCTTTATCAACCTTGCTTTTCTTTTAGTATTAACGACAATGATATGTTACATTTATAAAGTACTTGTTGAATACCAGTTACCTTGGTGATGCTTTCTAGCATCATCATATTTAATACCCATAAATTTGAGAATAGGCATTATTATCATTATTATGTCATCCCCATTTTGCAGTTGAGAAACCAAATAGGTATGTCAGTATCATAAGTGAACAGCTATAGGCACTTTCAAACTTGGGGTTCAAACTTGGGGTTCCTTTCTGGAACAGATTTGCAAAGTCACACCCAAAGATATGGTAGCTATGTAACATAAATAAATAAAGTAGGTATATATGAAAAATAACAAAGCAGGTGGCATGATGAATGATAGTTAAGACTTAGCCAAGATGCTGGCACAAAATAAAGAGTAATCAGCTCTGTGGCAGACTCTGTTGGAGAGTATATGCCTCATTTAAAGGTGAGGTCACTTCTCAACTGTAGGTAGTTTTTACCTACGTGAGAATGCAGACCAATTCCATACTTTTCAATACAAGACAGAAATCTGTATTTTTTACACGAGGACCCTTAGCTTCTATATGTTGGCTACTCTTTCAAATAAAAATAAAATCCAATGTACAGACCCACATGCTGAGTCCAAAATTAAGAAACATCTGAAGGCTTAACCTGTTCTCTGGGCAGCCAGTTACCAATTCCCTGTAATAGAGTCTGAGGTCTTTTAAACTGTTAAGTCATGCTGCTTCTTATTGCCCCGTTTAAATACCTTCCTTTCATATGTGCACTAAATAAATTGAGGAACTGAAGACCTACTTTTTAGCTAATGTGTTTTATTTACTGCAAATGTATTTTATTTACTGCTGTTATGCTGTTGTACCCATTTGGATAAAAACTGCAAAGGCAACCTACAAGTTGCCTACAAGTACATTGTTTTGAAATCCTGAATTCTTCATTTATCTGCCTTGAGTGGTAGAGTTCTGATATAAGGCATGTCTTATGGTAAGTTGATGTGAGGATCCAGGTATTATTGAATACTTAGTTAATTATTTATTAATCATGACTTTTTCTCCCTTTCTTTTGTAACATAGCTTTCACTTTCAGAAGAACAGAATGAAATAATGAAAAATGGCTGTGAATCTAAAGAGCTGGTCTACCTCGTGCAGATTGCTTGTCAGGTAATTCTGAATTTGTCCTCCACTGCATATAAAGTTAATAAGAATTATTTTGAGTAATCACCAAATTCCTTACTATAGTGTGTTTCTCACATTGCCTCAAGGATTATAATCTATATAAAGATACTTATATTGAAGTGAAATTGGGCTATAAATAACTATTGTAAGAAAATAAGATGGTATTCTTAAAAAGAAAGAGAGAAGTGTGTTCATACAATAATACATGGAATGCCCAATTTAGGTTGCAACTTGCATATCTTCTCTTTGCATTTTTTAAAGGTTCCTAAGGTTTTGGACACTTATAAGTAAATAATAGAGATTGTGGAAGTATAGGTGTTGAAAACAATATAAAATAAAGTAAAAATTTTTCCCCCAGTTATATTGACATTTCTACATGTACCCACTTCAATAGAATCAGTTTAGTAGAATCAGAATACAACTTTAAATAAAGATACTTCTCATGAGAATGATGTCATTTTTTTGCATTTGAATCAGATGATGTATAATTTCTCATTTTTCTGAGTGTACAGGTTGTAGAATCACATTGGTCATGCAGTCATGTATATACATACAGCAATAATAATGTCTATTTATTCTGCTGTCCTTCCTTCCCCTCTATCCCCTCCCTTCTTCTCCCATCACTTCTCTCTACCCAATTGATGTCATTTATTGATCACTATGTTAGTTGAGTTAACTGTTGATCACATATCATGATGGGGAGATTTGACCACTTGTCTCTGCCTCAGCTACTCCCTTTTCTGACCAGGACAGTATTCCTCTATAGTGTCACAGGAAGAAAGTGCATGTGATTTTGAAGAATCTGATGCTTATATCACATGGGAAATACTTAAATTCTTAGTTCTGATGACTTTAAGGAAAACTTTTCAAAATAAGTGCTTTTATTTTTAGGTGCCAGAATTTGGGATTGGAAATCAAATTTAGCTTGAATATAGAGTCAAAATATATCAAAGTCACGTTTTTCATATATGTTTTGTTGCATGTCATCTCAGTTTGAAGGAGTAGGCAACTCTGAATTACTAAATTTCATGTCATATTTCATAAAATGCTGTATTTAGTAAGTTGTTTTTTTCTCTGAATTACTAAATTTCATGTCATATTTCATAAAATGCTATACTTAGTAATTTTTTATTGTGAAGTTTTAATAACAGGTCTGTAAATGTAAATCTTATGAATTTTCTCTTTGCTATAGAAGCAGTGAAAGTTGGTGATACTATAAATTCAGTACCTCCATGTATTTTACTATTTCATTTTAGTGGATAGGTGACAGATCCCTTTAGTCTTGGTGATTTGTGTACCTTTAAGCTGGAAATTCGATTCTAGAAGTGGATAGGCTGAATGTGAATAGAAGATCTGGTGATTAATGAGACCTGGGGGAAAAGAAGTAAGGAAATGAAAGTCATGGAAGAATCTCACATAGGTCCTTGATGACCTGAAGTATAGTTCTATTAAGAGAATGAGAATGTGGACGTTGGTAAATTGATTTTTTAGGTGAAAATATTGAAAAATTCTGTCCTGATAAACTGTTGCTAATAGATGAATGGAAATCTTTTTCTAGAGTACATGTTTGGTATGTCAGGAATGAATTTATTAATTCCTGTACAAGCTAACACATTTTAGCATCTCTTCTCACCATTTATTTCCATATGCTCAGAGAATGCAGATATTTTTATTCTCATTAGCAAAACATAATCTCAAAAATATCTATGCTGTTTCACTTAAAAGGCAAACATGCTGTTTGGGGCATACATTAGAATTTATAATTGTTACTCAATTGTACTTCCATATATTAGTGACCTAGATGTTAGATAGTTTCCTGATTGTAAATATTCTATTCAGCTGCTTAAAAAATTGCAGATTGCTTGGTGTACTATTTATAACATCAAAGTAGTAATTTACTACATTATAATAATGCATATATTATAATAATAATATAAGCATTATTATTCTTCTCTGGCTCACGAAGTAATCTTTGAAGCATTCCCATGGGGTGGGTGTGTGTGTGTGTGTGTGTGTGTGTGTGTGTGTGTGTGTGTGTGTGTAATCAGTCATAAGCCCTATTGTAGGCCCAAATCATTTTTTTTAATAACTAAGACTCACAAGCAAACCCCTTAATTTTGCAAATGGGGAAAATGAGGTCTAAAGTCCTGTAGTAGCTATCCTCAGCTGCTAATATGGCATATTAGCAGTGGGAGCTTCTAAGGAATTCATTTTCCTGCCTGCCAGTTTTTTTCTGTCTCTCTATGGAATTTTCAGTCTAGAATAGATTTGAAAACTCGCTCAGTCTCCAATTAAGATGGCCATTAACACTGATGTTATCTATCTGTTCTAGAAGCTATTTATTTACATATTTTATCTCTGCTAACTTCTAATTTTTAATAATGTACAGTTAACATTCTTTTTATATAACCACACTTCTTGTTCCTTCATCTTAACCTCCTCTTTTCTTGTTCTGTTAGCTTAGATGACGACATATTAAATGTCTTAAGATCTTTTTCCCTTCTGGAGAATAAGTGATTCTACTTTCAGTAGACCTTATTTTTGAACCGTTCATTATCTTTTTGTCTGCCCTTTAAATTTTTTCTTCTTTCTAAATTGTGAACCCAGCAATGTAAAGACTGTCTTTCACACTGAATGGACCCAAATTCAGTAGGCACTTTTTTATCATCTGCATATCTGGCACACACACACATGCAGCACTTCCTTTTAATTCTTAAAACAGCTCTGTGAGGCAGATAGTCTGGTTTCCATTTTACAGAAGATGAAATAAAGACAACAAATGTTAATACCTTCCACAAGGTCATGAAATTAAAGAGAAGGTTTTATCTAGGATTTGAACACAGCTGTAATGTTTTTCCTACTCTTCCACCATTTTCTAATAACATGATTTGTACTTGGTTTGGCTACTCTAAAATCTTTAAGTATATCTCAAATGTTAATGAAGTCTTAAGAAATGCATATAACTGACAAGTCTAGTTTCTTTGCATGACTTCAGCAGACAGGATCTCCCCTCCCCCTACACCTTTCAGTGGAGCCTTACATTCTAGAGTCTCTGAAGGAGCTAGTTCAAGCCAACTGGATATAATTCCAGGCCAAGAGACTACAGTCTTAGAAATACAAAAATATTTAATAACTGGTATAGCACAAATCCAAAGCATTAGAACAGATACTAGTCACACAAGTCTAATTTAGCTGTATAGGTGTGTCTCAGCTGAATATTAACCATGGATAAATCGCTGTCAGATGTCTTAAAGAACAGGTCATTAATGACCTGTTTGATCAACTCCTTCCCTCTTCTACTAATCATTATTTAGAATAAGTTGTCTTCACTAATATAGGCATCATAAAATAGCCTCAGCTTTTTCATTTCCTCTTTAATCTTTTCATTCTACTTATAAGTATCTGCTGTGTCAAACAAATAAACTTCTGTGGATGAAGAAACACGATCTAGTTTGTGTCTTGATGGTGTTTTGGGTAGGAGTCCTTTTTATTCCGTTTACTTTTCTGAAAATCATGCTATTTTCTTTACACATCCTGTACTTCACAAGAAATAATGTGTTTAGTTTGAAAGTAGTGAAATTATTAAAAATCCTAGGAAATTCAAGAATATGTCATGAGAGAGGTTTCTGCCTTTTTTATCTTTCAAAAATAAGTAAACATGAGCTTTTAAGTATTAATTTTAAAGTGACAAATTTAAACCTATTTATTCAAACACATGCCCTGATGAAAATCCTGTTTTGATCTCTTCTTTCTCTGAGTGTAGTTTTTTGTTATATGAGTAATTGTTGTTTAATAAAATAATACTTTATCATTTCATTATTAGCTTTAGATTAATTGACATTAATTTTTCTTATTCAAGTTCATATATGTTTACTACATTTATATTTTAACCAGAATTCATCAATATTTAAGCACTTAGTTTTTTCTGTAGATTATTTAGTAAGTATTTACTGTAATCTCAAGGTTCCTTTATGTTATGGTAGATGGAGAAAACAGTTGGTTTCAAGGGAATACTTCCTTGTCTCAAAATATCTCCCATACTCCAATGTTCCCATGCTTGAAATTCCACCATCAGAAATGCATTCCTTGGTATTAAATCTTTCCTTCTCTACTGAGTCCATTTAAAGAATACTGTTATGTTAGGAGCAGGGAAACTGTTAACAGCCTCTGTGTATGAGCATAATACATAGGCAGATTGCCAGCATTTTTATTTAAACTTTATAAAGCTTCTGTGAAATATAGATGTTACTCCCAATTCAAAGATGGGTAAACTATTGCTCACAGATGTTTAATAATTCGCATAAGGTTCTGAATTTAAGGTTAGATGAGGTTAGGATTTGAATCAGTTCTTTTTTTCTCTCTTTTCACTGAACTTTATACATTTAAGGAGATAACAGAGCATTAGTTATTTTTCAGGTAATTTCCCCAAGACAAAAAAATTTCCCAGGACAAGGACAAAGACTGTTCTCAGAAAGCACAACAAGTGGTTCCTTTTCTCTCACCTTTATTCCTTAGCCTTGTCAAGAATGATTTTTGCCTATGATTTTTGCTAAGTGAAATAAGCCAGTCCCTCAAAAATCAAAGGTCCATGTTCTCTCTGATATTTCGGATACTAAAACACAATAAGTTGGGGTGTGTGGGGTGGGAGAAGAATAGAAGGTCATTGGATTAGACAAAAGGGAATAAAGGGAAAGGAGAGGGAATGGGAATAGGAAAAACAGAATGAACTGAACATAACTTTCCTATGTTTATGTATGAATATACCACCAGTGAAACTCCACATCATGTACAAACACAAGAATGGAATGTTATACTCCATGTATATAATATGTCAAAATATACTCTACCATTATATATATCTAAAAAGAACAAGTTAAAAAATTATTTTTGCTACCCTTGGATATAGTACTTGGTATAATAATTAATATTAAAAATTTATAACAAATAAGATTGAGGCAAGTGCATATATTAAAGAGTTTTGTTCC